GCTTCGCCAACAGCAATCGCTTGGACAATCGATATGGGAACTGGACGTTTTTGGTGTTACTGGAATATTCCCACATCTTTGCCCAGCTTGCTGGACCCTTCGAGTCCGATCTGCATTTCTGCTTATACCACAGTACTTGAGCACCCCCTCCTTGGTGGCTATTTGTCGCGTATCATGATATTTGTATTCAACGATACATTGTTATTATTATTGGTCAAATGCTGATTTTTTTTTTTTTTTTTTGCAGCTGTTTTGCTCAAAAAACCTAATGGCGTTCATCAGTGGAACTGCTTTTGCAGAAGACGCAAATTGTTTGCTTCTGTCTTACCGGTAAGTTTTAAATTCTCCCTCAACACTGATTAGGGAAGAGCCGTGTTTCCATAGAAATCATTTGCAGTTGGGAATGAAATTGTGTTTATAAACAGAGCAATCATTTAGCATTCTTTTTTTTTTGGCCTTAAAACTAACCTACGCATTTCACCAATCTTCATGTGTCCATTCAAATTATCACTTTAAATTTTTAGCCAGAAATGCCGCCCAGTGGAGAACTGGTCGATGAGACAGATATCTGGGCGTTTAATGTACTGAAGCACAGTAAAATACCCAGGAAATCTTACGACGTTATGCCGTCCTCAAGTAAATGTTCAGGTGAACTCAGATTGACCGTTATAAAAAAATCATTAGCAAATGGTAATAAAAATTACTGAGTTTTATAACAGGCACACAAGATTGGATTGTTCACCTCGAATTTTCACCGTTTTCCTCAAAAAAGCAGCCATTTTTTGGTGGCGATCGTTCATCGTCTCCCTAATTCCATCTCTGTTGTTGTTGGCGGTCCCGAGCCCTCTATAAGCTAGAGGAGGTTTTTTTCCCGCAATTGATCGATAATCATATTCACTCAAATAAAATCACTTCTGACTTTGAATATTTTTGTTTTTCCAGGCAATGGTAGCAGAGAGGACAAACCCCAAGAAGTGGTTATGTCACTATTCAATAGGTTGGTATGAACTGTTCTATTTAATCAGATGAGCAATATTTTCGTAACATTTGCTTAGAGGGTGCAAGAGGGAGGGAGGTAAGAGATGAGGGCGGGAATGTGAAGACGTAAATTTCCTATCCTGAAAGCGAAGCAAAACGGGGCTTGGTGAGGATATTTTCTGTCCTTGTACGGACCAAAAAATTTAAATTCAGATTCCATGCACGTTTACGTACGTCTCACGACACGGATAAAGAAGATTCGAGGTGGAAATTTATTAGCATCGTTCAGGCTTCGCTGAACAAACGTATGGGAAACGTCAACCACCTTGTGTGTGCCGCTGTTTGTTTATTCGTTTTTTTGAAAAGTACTGGGATTTTTTTTTTTTTTTTTTTGCAGCGGTCAGCATAAACGGGAAACGTTATCCAAGGATGAATGTCGAGAGTATGACGCTGAGCATGGAGAACATGTTTTAGAAACAATTTCGGAATTTGAAAATCGTTGGAATATTTCTGCGTGCGAAAGGTTTTTGGTGCTTTTTAATTTCTCCCCATGTTTGGTGATGGTGGTTCCGGCGAGTAGCAAATTTAACTTCCATGTATAATTCATTTTTTTTTGTAAGCGATTCCCATGTAACAGTCAGGAGGAGGGGACCGCTAGGCCTGGACGGAAAAGTGCTCAAAACAAAACACCTTTTTATTAGTATGGGAGCGAAAATCAAAACAAAGAAAAACACAAACCAGGAAATCACCCGGCATCAGCTCCAAACTGCTACCGGGAAAAAAGCAGCATTCGAGGCTGCAGCAGCTCCAAGCCGCCGCTGCACACCTCTTAGGACCAAAAAAACAATTTTCAAATTCATTCCTAATCATCATATTAAATATCACGGAGGAGAGGGGGAACTCGAGTCAAAAGAGGAGCCTTTCGCATATTACAGGGAACCGAAAGGTAACTGGGCAAGGCGAAGAGGGTTTAGCCTCCATTTTCGTTTCCTTGCTACTCGCTCCTTCTTTCTTTTGCAGCACCTGCATGAGAACGACTCTTGTTTTAACACTAATTGAATGCCGAAATGGTTGTAAAAGAAGTGAAAATTAAATTCCATAAATTTAAAATAGTGTGGAGCGAAAAAAGTTTAT